ATGATGTTTTTTTGGTACTGGGGATCAAACTCAAGACCTTTTGTTTGCGAGGCAGGTGGCGCCATTGCTGAGCTAAATCCTTGGCCCTCCATTATTACTTTTGATGCTTGGATTTCTAATCAGAGATCAGTGAGAACCCTTCAAGTTGGCTTTTGTGAACTTTTATCAATACCTTGTTAAGCTTTTGATAAGTAGTGCTTTATGGGAAAAGTTATCAGAAGGGTATTACAATTCTTGTACACTTCACCTAAATATTCCAGACTGATGTTTCATGTTTGTTTTACCCTGTTCCCCCTCTTCTTCCTTTTAAACACACATATATGTATTATGGTCATGTGTTTATATTTTTCTCTTGTGTGTAGAGGAATATATGGACATGTTGCCATTTTCCTCTGAGTTCTTACTGTAGTTATATTTTCTGAAAGTTCTTTTCTATTACCATGGTACAGATCACAGTGATCAGAATTAGAAAATTTGGTCTGGTGCCATGGCTCATGCTTGTAATGGCTCATTTGAAGGGAGGCAATTTAACAAGACTGTCTCAAAAAAACTTTTTTTGCAAAAGGGTTTAGCATGTGGCTCAGTGGTGGAACACTTGCTTAGCATGTGAAGCTCTAGGTTTGATCCCTGGTACCACCCCCCAAAAAATTATGTAGTTAACATTGACATAGTAGTATTACCTATAGTTTTATTCCAACTCTACATTGGAATACATGATTTAGCTGTCCTGTCTTTTTAGTCTGGACCAATCTTTCTTTGACTTTCATGACCTTGTAATTTTTTAATGATTACACGCTGATTTTGCAAACTGTAACTCAGTTTGAGTTTGTCAAATGATTGAATTTAATTAGTCTGCCAAATCTGCCATTTGGTCTTGACTGTTTTTTTTTTTTTTTTTTTTTCCTGGTGCCATAAAGAGAAGTGCACTGACCTTATGAATTTCCAGAAATAACATTTTAAGATAATTTCAGTAATTGGTTATCTATATATGACACTTTTTTGTGGGGGGGGGTTACCAGCGATCAAACTTGCACTTGCGAGGCAGGCGGCAGGACCACTGAGCTAAATCCCCAGCCCTGTATATGACACTTTGTTTCTGGATAACTCAGGTGTTTCAGCTGTGCATGTTCTACATGACATGCATACAACCAGCCCCCCTCCAAAACACCTGGATACCTAGAAGTCAAAGAATAATGAGTTAGCGGGCTGGGGAGTTAGCTCAGTGGCGCCGCTCCTGCAAACACAAGGTCCTGAGTTTGGTCCCCAGTGTGGAGGGTGGGGGTGGGGAGAGAGAAGAATAAGTTACTAAGAGATGGAAGGAGTAGGAAAGGGGATTAAAAAAGAATTAAGATGTGTTATGTACATGTATTAAAAATAATGTGCACCTTTTATGTACTTAACCATTTGGATATCCTTTCTTATAAATTCCCTATTAAATATTTTGGTCTTTTTTATGGGATGCCTTTTTAAAACATGGTTTATGCTCTTTACCCCATTATTTTATATGTATGCCTTTTTCAGTTACAGGTCTATGTATCTTTTTTTGTCTTGCCTCTGAAAAAACTTTTTAGTTCATGTTAGTAATGATCGCATTCATCATAGAGGATTTGTACGTGTATATAATACATCTCAATTCCTTTTTTGTCCCCTTTCCCTCCAGATCTTCCCTTCCCCATTTTCAAAATCTGTTTTCATTTTTTTCATCTTTTTTCTTTAAATGGCTTTTCCCTTCTCTCTTCTCTCCCCCTACCTCATTTTTCCTTTCCCGTTTGAAAAAAATTTGTTCTAGTTCAATATCTATACTCCATTTTGCTCCTTGGTTATACTTCAGTTTCTCACACAAGAGAAACAATGCAATATTTAAATTTGTGTGTCTGATTTATTTCACTTTAAGATTATGGTGTTAAGGTGCATCCATTTACCTAAAAATGCCTTGTTTATCCTCTTTTATGTTGGAGTAGTATTCTAGTCTCTTACTTTCTTAATGGTGCTTCTGATGAATAGAAATTCTTACTGTTTATGCAATCCAATTTAATCATACTTTCATGTTTTAGTAAGTAATTTTATACCTAAAAAGTCCTAAAGATTTTCTATTTATCTTCTAGAGGCTTTGTTATTCTTGCCTTCACAGGTAGATCCAAAATTCACTTGGAATTGGTTTTTTTCTTAGGTACAAAAGGTAATGACCAGATTCAGTTCTTTCCCTATGGATATGCTGTCTGTCGAGCACCCATTTATCGTCACTGCTTGAACCAACAAATCCAGCAACACACAAAAACATTTCTTCCATGTAGTGATGTTATTAAGTGTTTATTGAAAATGCTCATGTTAATAATGTCTAATGTTTTAAATTAACCGTCCTTATATTTATGCTGATATTTCTATTATTATGAATTTTATAAGTATTTCAATGGCTATGTAAGTCACCTTTCGATCGTTACAACAGAATGAGAAAATCAATTTATAGCAGAAAGATTTATTTTGGCTCAATATCTCAAAGGTTTGGGTCCATGTTTGCCTGGCTCCATTGTTTTGGGCCTGAGGTGAGGCAGAGTATCTTGGCAGTGGCAGTACATGGTAGAGGAGGCAGTTCATTTCATGACAGCCAGGAAGTAGAGAAAGGTGGAGGATGACATGCTGGGCACAAGATAAACCCCCCAACACCCCAAGCATAAACCCAGTCTCTTCAGCTGGGTCCGTCTTCCTACGTTTTTATCACCTCCCAGTAGTTCATCAAATTATGACCTAATGAATTAATCCATTGATGAGATCAAAGACTTATGATCTAATCTCTTACCCAAAGCCTCACCTCTGATCACTGCTGCATTGAGGTTCATGCCTTCAACACATGAGCCTTTGGGAGACATTTCGGATCCAGATCATCATCCATCTACAAAAATATGAACTGTAAAAGGAGTAGCTATTAGTTTTACTAGTTAAAATTTCAAGTGTCCTGAGCTTTTCACTCTTTTGATTCCTAACACTCTTTTGCTTAAAGATGACCTTTTTTTGGTGAGTAGTATAATATATGGAGCAATATTTTGTGATGTTACCTTTATGTTAAGTAACAGAAAATTTTTTCAGAGGCAAGACAAAAGAAGATACATAAACCTATAACTGAAAAAGGCATACATATAAAATATTGGGGTAAAGAGCATAAACCATGTTTTAAAAAGGCATCCCATAAAAAAGACCAAAATATTTAATAGGGAATTTATAATTTATTCTAAATTGTTTACTTTTCAGGAAACATTTTGATGGTAAATTACCAACAGAATCAACTAATAGTGGAAAAAACAAGAGAGATACAGATTTTGAAGGCACAGATGAACCCATTTTTGGAAAGAAGCCCAGAATAGAAGAGACAATAGCTGAAGACCTAAGGTAATATTTCCATAGTCATAAATGTTAGTAAATCTTTATTTGGGGATTGCATGAAGTTTCAAAAACTGCTTGGTATATGTTGGTATTTTATAATAATGTTTGTGAAGTTGAAGAAATGAAGATAAATATTGCTTATTTATGTATACATAGAAGCCTGTAAATGTAGAACATTAAGGTTAGACAATTGGATGACAACGCAGACATGACTCAATCTTTTTTGATATTTTAGAATTCAATTTTGAGCAAATATCTTGAAATACAACTTTTTTAAAAGAAGAAAAGATAATTTGTTAGTATCTCAAGTTGATTGTTGGGAAAGTAGAATAAAAGGAAACAGTAACTCATTCAATGGAAGGAATAAGTGAGAAGGGATATTCAAAGGAATTAGATTTTCATTGTCTCATGTAGCAGTGGAATGACTGAATCTCAAGGCACTTGTCAATGAGGAAAACCCAAGGATATCTGTGGCTAGATATTTTCTGGTATTAGTATTTCTGAGATTTTGAAAATAGAACTTCCTAGAGTTGAAATAAGTATTTTTAGTTAAACAGATTCCTGTTATAATGATCTTTATAATTGTTGCTTTTCCCTTCTTTCTGTGCTATATTCTAGGTTGTTGCTAAGAGGAAGTTTAGTTTTTCTGTTTCAACCTGTTAGTGTTACAGCTAGTAAAATTATTGTAAATGCTGAAAGATGTGTTATTGAAATATTTAAGATGTATCACTTACCAAAACTAGTGTAATAGGTTATACAAAATAAAATTGCTATTTTAAAAGTTTTTTTTTTTACTTATTCTAACTTTTAGGTTTTATTCAAAGTATGGTTATTGAACTAAGGTAAATATCAGTATAGTAAATCAGAGAATAATGCATCTAGCATAGAAATATACATCTGATTTTCTTTTATTCACAGTTGTGATCTCTCAGAGTTTAAATGGAGAATCTAGATGATCATAATGTAGGATTTTGTTGAGAATAAGGAACATTTTAAAATTACGACATGATCTAAATTAGGCTAGTTTATGTTATATATTCTATGGAAAGCAGCAAAGACCCTGGTCTGCCAAAGCTGCTGATAATTAGTGGTGACACAGTCATAGTTAAGTTGGGGTAAAGGGGCTGTGTGAAGGAGCTGCGTGTAGTTACTAGGGATACATTGCTGACCCAGGCAAGACTTACAAAGGAACAGACTAAATAGAAGTTGTGACAAACAACCTTGTCTTTTTAGTAAAGGTTTTAATTTTGGGAATGGAATTTGAGTGCAAGTCACTCTGATCTCGGGTGTGTGTTATCTCATATTAAGCCCCATAGCTTCACAAGCCATTTCTCTGGTCTCTGTCATGGCCATTGGGCAGAGGGGTTGATATTGACCCATGCACCATCCGCAGTGCTCCCATGAGTCAAGTAGGCTTCAGTTGGTCTTATTTCTTAAAACAAGCCAATTGTGAGGTAACTCCTTACAGGCTAGTATTTACAGCCTGCTTTTGGTATGATCAATGGGGAGGTCCCCTACATTCTAATGCATAGTGGTTTTTATTTTTTATTTTTTTGCATGGTGGGTTTTATGACCAGCTTTGTCTTGAGATGAAGTGATGATACGTTATAGAAGAATTTTTTTTTAATATGGATGGCTTCTTGAATTTGCATATCATCCTCACACATGGGCCATATTAATCTCTATATTGTTTCCATTTTAGTATATGTACTGCTGAAGCGAGCACTAAGCTGACATAATTTTTGAATAATCTGTTTGGCTGTTCTATATTTGTAATAAAATACATTAACTGGGTATTTTGAATTCTCAACATATACTATGTATGAATAATAATGACAAAATTTCTGAACATTAATAGCCAAAGTTTTTCCAATTTGGAATACTGATAATTGGGCCATATCATTTTCTTTACAGTACATATTAGGAGGATTATTATTTACTCTAAGAAATGATTTCTATGTCATTTTGATAATTTTTTTTTAAAGTTTGGCAGATCTGATGCCCAGGGTCAAGGTACAGTCCGTTGAAACTGTTGAAGGATGTACACATGAGGTACGTACCAAGAATATACAATAGGTTATTATTAAATGGGATTTTTCTTTGTATTGTCTAGTAAAATGATTAGCAAGCAGCTTATTCTTACAGGCCTTGGAAACAGTAAGTAGATTGTGTAGGGTACACATAGTCTAATAGAAGAGCTGAACTTTTTCTATGAAGCCTGGCTTCAGGTGCTGATCTAACAATTTTCCTAACAGTATGTGGTATAAGTGTTATCAGTAAGTTTGTAGTATATAATGATTACATTCATCATGAGGAGTTGATATATGTATGTAATACATCTTAATTTCTGTCCTCTTCCCTTTTGCCAAAGATCTGTCTCCCTGATTCCTATTATCTCTTATTTTACTCTTAAATTTCGGGTTTCTCATATAAGAGAAGCCATGCAATGTGTCTAGTTTATTTCACTTAACATATACCAAAGTGCATCCATTTTCCTATAAATTTATCCTTTATGGCAGAGTAATACTCCATTGTGTATAAATATAACATTTTCTTTATCCATTTTTACAGGCCATTTTCTTAATTTTCCTGTTATGAGTCGTGCTGCTAAAAACATATATTCGTGTATCACTATAATATGATATCTTTTAACTCCTTTGGAATGATAACTAGAAGAGGAATAGCTGTGTTGAATGGAATTTCTAGTTTTAGTCCTTCCCCCATTAAGTTTATTGGTACATTTAAAGCAGACAGTACAGTTACATTTATCATTGGGATCTTGTATCTTTACATGATATGTCTTGGTTCTTATTTTTTTCCCCATACCCATGCCCTCCCTTCACCCCCTTCACCCTTCTCTATTTACACTTTATTTCCATTTTTTCTTCTCCCTTATTTCCTTTCCCCTACTGTTCCCACTTCCCTTTTAGCCATTTTCTTCCTATTTCACACTCAATTATACCATTTGAACCTTATTTACACTTTCAGTTTTTCACACCAGAGAAACTATGTGGTATTTACTCAAGTGTGCCCTATTTATTTTACTTTACAGTATAGCTTCAATATGCATCTATTTAGCTGTAAATGTTTCTAGTTTCTCATTCTTTATGGCTGAGTAATACTCCATTTTATAGAAAAACCACATCTTCTTTATCCAGTCTCCAGTTGATGGGCATTTGTGTTGTTTCCAAGTTTTAGCTATTACAAACTGTGCTGATACAAACATGAGTGCACATATATCACTGTGATATGATTCTTTTAATTCTTTTGGAAAGATACCCAGCAGAGGGATAGCTTGGTCAAATGGCACCTCTAATCCTAGTTCTTTGAGGTTTGTCCATACTGATTTCCGCAGTGGTTGCACCAGTCAGCATTCCCAAAAACAACAGAGAAAGGGTTCCTTTCTCCCCACAGCCCTGCCAACATTTGTTATTGGTGGATTTCTTGATAGCAACCATTCTTTCTGGGGTAAGATAGAATCTCAGTGTTGTTTTTATCTGCATCTCTCGAATGACCAGTGATGTTGAACATTTTTTCATGTATTTATTTGCTGCTTTTACTTGTTTGTCTGAGAAATGCTTGTTCATTTCAGATGCCCATTTTTGGATTGGGTCTTTGTATTTGGGGGGGGTAGATTT